AGATTCCTTCATCACTTTTGGCATTAAATTTTCCATGTGCTTCCTCGCCATTGTTGAGGACAAAACATTTACAGCCAAATATCCTTAAATGTGTCAGCTTGGGCTTCCTTCCGTTCACTAGTTCATATGGCGTTTTCTTCAGAAGGGACCTGATCATGCACTAGTTCGCCAAGTAGTATGCGGTGTTGACGACTTCAGCCTAGAAGCCTTTTGCAATGCCACTATCAATCAACATTGTTATTGCAATGTCTTCAAGAGTCCTATTCTTCCTTTCCACAACACCATTGTGTTGAGGTGTTCTTAGAGATGAAAAATTGTGAGTGATGCCATTTTCAGCACATAATTCGTCGAATTTGGCATTGTCAAATTTTGTCGCATGGTAAGACCTGATACGTACTACATTATGGCTCATCTTCACCTGGATCTTCTTCGCAAATGCCACAAACACTTGAAAGGTTTCATCCTTGGTTCTGAGAAACAGAGTCTAGGTGAATCTGGATTAGTCGTCTACTATAATTAAGATGTACTTTTTCCCTCCTCTACTTGGCACCCTCATAGGTTCACATAGATCGATATGGAGGAGATCAAGTGGCCTTGAGGTACTAATTTCCTTTTTGGGATTGAAAGAGGATCTGAATTGCTTTCCTTTTACACATGCATCACACACCTTGTGATCCTTGAAGCTTGACTTGGGCAGACCACGAACCAGGTCCTTCTTGACCAATTTGTTCAGCAACGTAAAACATACATGACCCAGCCTTCTATGCCATAGTTCATCATCATCATTAACAGTACTCAAACAGCTGAGATCCCCACTTTGCAAGGACTCAAAGTCAGCAACGTAGATATTTTTGTATCTTTTGGCCACTAACACCACTTCACCAGTCACAAGATTAGCGACTGTGCATATCTTGGATACAAATTCCACTTTGTTTCCCTTGTCACAGATTTAGGAACACTCAGCAAGCTGTACTTCAACCCGTTCATGTAGTACACATTTTCAATTGAGTGAGAGAGAGACTTACCAATCCTTCCAACTCCCAGAATGTATCTCTTCTTGCTATTTTCAAAGGATACACTCCCTCCCTGCAGGGCCTTCAGTGAAAGGAAATCATTTGTACTTCCAGTCATGTGCTTCGAGCGGCCGCTATCCATGTACCATTGTTGGCTTCTCCCTTTCACTGCTCCATGCACAAGGAAATCAAGAGTTTGACTTAGGAACCCAAACAAGTTTGGGTCCTTGTAATGAGGAAAGGGGTGAATGAGGGCCCCTTGTTGGGTCCTTCTTGAGACTGAAATCTGGCCTTACATGTTCCCTTAAAGTTCCCAGTGTTACTACAGTGAGTGCAGAGCCAGTTATCAGGTACAGTAACGTACTTGCTATAATGGTTTTAAGGAGTCTTTTCCCTTTGAAACCCGATTCCCTGCCTATTTCCCCCACTGTTTGTATACATAGCAGTGATTTCATCAGAGGACCAGGTCCAGTTAAGAGATTTTTCTAGGTCACTCTTCACTTTGCATAGATCTTCTTGAAGTTGTCTATTTTTCTCAACCTCCGCACAAAAACTAGATTTCACTGATTTTAACTCATTTTCAAGCCTAAGGTGTGCCTCACTTTCAACTTCCTTTCCTTTTTGAGTTTTCCCAGGCCTATGTTCCCCTTTTAGTTCCTCAATTGTTTCCTTCAGTTCTACAACTACTACTAATAAGTCATCTCTTTCATGCTCAATGTTAGCAACCCTCTCTGTAAAAACTTCTTTCTCCTTTTTAACACACTCAATGGTCTCTTTTAGATCGACCACAACAATCGCTAGCTCATCTCTCTCATGTTCTATATTTGCAATTTTTTGAGTTAAGGCATCAATTTCTTTCTTTAGACTCTCAATGGTTTCCTTTAAGTCTACCACAACGACTACTAGATCATCTCTCGACTGTTCTACTTCTCCTAGTTCCATAGTTAATGCATCTTTATCATTTATAAGACTAAGATAAGCATCAATTAAAATATTTGCCAAAGACATAAGTTTTTATGGGGAATAAGACTTTAGATTTCTTTGAACATCTAGAAAGTTTACCTCATCATCATCATCATCATCATCGTCATTTTCATCATTGTCAGATTTTGCCATTAGGGCAAAGATTGAGTCATACTCAGCTGCTTCACTTTCCACTGCCATCATGGAGCTATCACCTTGATCATCATCTTCTTCAGATTCGCTGGAAGAGTCTCCCTATGCAGCAAGAGTTTGTTTCACAATATTGTTAGTGACTTCTTTTCTCTTGAATTGTTTGTAAGGAACTGGGTTCCTCTTAGGTACTTTGTCACTGTTGTGTTTGTACTGATCTTGCTTGAGGAGAGGGAAATCCTTGATGAAGTGTCGTGGCTTACCGCACTTATGACATAGTTCATAACCTTTTAGCTTGCTGGAGCTTCCCCTTTTTGGAATGCCTCCATTTCTGCGAACCATTTGTTGAAACCTTTTTGTCAGGTAGACCATATCAGCATCCTCACCACCTAAGTCATTGCTCTCCGTCTTGAGGACCAGATTCTTCTCCCTTTTAGGCTCTCTTCTCTCATTATCCTTCTTTTTCTTCATTTCATAAGTCTTCAGATTGACGACAAGTTCATCAATGGTCAGCTCCTGCAGATCCTTTGCCTCTGTGATAGAATTTACTTTGCTTTCCTAGGAACCAGGTAATACACTAAGTATCTTCCTAAAGAATTTGCTCCTGCGGATGCTATCTCTCAGATAGTGAAGCTCATTGATGATAGATATGAAGTGAGTGTGCATATCCTGAATGGACTCATCGTCTTCATCTTGAAAAGCTCATACTCTGTGGTTATCAGGTCAATCTTAGACTGCTTTACCTGTATTGTCCCTTCATGAGCTATTTGGAGAGCTTCCTAGATCTCTTTAGCAAATTGACATGCTGAAATCTTATTGTACTCATATGGTCCAATACCACAGACGAGGATTTTCTTAGCTCAAAAGTTCTTTTCAATAGCGTTGCGTTCACCATCATTTTATTCCTTTCTAGTTTTAGGAACTATCACTGCGAGTTCCCCAATGGACTCGTAGGAACGGAAGGTCCATCGCAGATGATATCCCAGAGCTTTGAGTCTTCAGCCATGATGAAGTGTCTTCCATCATCCATAATATTGCCCGTTGATCTTGGTGGTCTGTGGGTAGACTGACCTTCTTCGAAGTTTGGCGGAGCAGCCATGACGATCCTTTCTAGGTGTTAACCTGATGAAAGAATCCACTCTGATACCAATTGATAGAAACTAAGGGTCCACCAAACTATATAGAGAAATATCTTCTCTATTAGTTCCCACAGAATACATGCACATTGCAGTATGTATATGACACAATGGAGTTTTACGTGGAAAACTCCCAGCTCACGGGATCAAAAACCACGACCTACTCTTGTATGATTTCAACTTCACTATTGAGCAAACTTTAGATTACAACCTATTGTAACCTAGGAATTAACCTCTTAATCCCTCACTAACTTGTAACAACTCTATTACAAGCCGCTTTGTAATAACTGTATTACAAAGACTTACAACTCGACTAACTCTAGCCAAGACACAAACACAAGGGTTTATGATTTACAAAGATTTCCTATATAATGCTTCCAACTAAGCTAAGCAGGAATTACAAGTAGATTGCTTTAACAAAGGTGCAACACAACTAAGGACATGTAATAACTCAATACAGGGAACTGGTTCGTTGTTATGTTGTTCTTTGTTCTTGATGCTCTTAAGAGTCACTTGCATGATTGATAGATGACTTCAGAGAATGCTTGATTGATTCTTGAATGTGCAAATGTTTTGTTTTACCTTTGTTTGATGTTAATAATTCATTTGTGACATCACTTGAATGATGCAAGCAAGTTAGGTAAAGGGTATTCCCCATAAAGTTGACTGCTGCACTATTTTTGCGCTGTTGCGTGTGTAGACAGCAACTTTACAGCTGGGGATTGACTTGTACAGTCACCACGGGAACTCGTAGCTATTTGTTCCCTTTGTAGTTCCTTTGACTCTGAAGAGTTGAACCGTGTCCCCGACTTGAGACTGTTGATTTGAAGTTCTTGAGGATGTATAACAAGTTCCTTATCTGATTCTTAACAGTAAGTTTGTTAGATCATCAAAATATAACAGAGATACACATATAATCTATCAAGAAACCACTCCTATCTATGAAACAAAGGTGAAAACAATGAAGCACCCGCAATTTTGTATGAATAGTATCGATCGATATAATATCACTTGACATGTAAACGTTTTATCTTTCATAGTTTTATTAATTTTGCATCATTTATTCAAATGAGTATGACTTGTTTAATTTTATAGCTAATCAAGTATTCGCATGGGTGTGGGTGTTTGCTGATTGTGTGCCATAAATGCCGATGCACCTACCCTATTCTGTTGAAAACTATTCTATATAAATAGTTGAAAACACTTTTAAAATATGTATATGTAGATTGCACTTATTATTACGAAATAATTGCACTAGCAGATAAGACCATTCCTATCTGCGAAAGACAAGTTGTTTGTCTCCAGCAATAAAGTAGAGAAAGGGATAATAAATATGAAGTCACAAATACTTGGACTTACGAAAGAGTGGTATGCTCGAGGAACATGAAATGTTATCCCACGGTTACGTAATTATTTATCATTATCAATTTAATTATTGATGAGACCAAATCCTTGTATAATTTTTATGTTTTATTTATTTAAGAAGAATCAAGAATGTACGTATATGATTGACTAGAATAGAGCTGTAACAAATTAAACATTAGCGTGGGCGTTGTATATTCTGGGAATGGTGCCATGATACAAGCTGTATGCTATGAATACTGATGCACCAACCGTATTCTGTTCAAAACTACTCTATATACAAATTTGAAAAGTCTTACTTTGCACGTATTATTACGAAAGAATAATAAATTTAATGGTACTTCACGTTCACTTTCGTAAAATCTTAGTGACAGGCGACTGGTGACCAAACGACATTAAGCAAGAAATATTATTTGCATCCAGCTTTACACTATGACAATGCAAAACGAAAGTAAGAAGGGAAAGAAGTATGAAAAACTCTTACAAGAACATGCACAAGAATGAAAATTAAGGAACATTAAATTCAAACACCATTTTTCATTTGGACGAAAGAAGAATATCATTGACCACCTTCTCAATGTTCACGTAAGATGACCCTGAATGTTCTTTAGCAGATGCTTCAGCCAATTCCTTCCATTCCATTGCCTTTTTCTTCATCTTTTTGCCTTTTTCCCCAACCATCAATTCCCTTACAAGGCTTTCCACTTCATCCCTCTTCACATCACTATCAATCTCCATTCCAACATCCCATTTAGTGACAGAAAACCAACAATTTGTTTGTTGTTCAGCGAAAAATGGCCAGCATATCAAAGGCACCCCACTGCTTGTACTTTCGAGCGTAGAATTCCATCCACTATGAGTCAAGAAACCTCCTATTGCAGGGTGACTAAGTACTTCTTCTTGTGGACACCAACTCGCAAGCATACCTCTGTTCTTCGTTTCTTCCACAAATTCGGGTGGAAGAATCGATGCATCACCTGAAACAATATCAGGTCTTATGATCCATAAAAAGGTTTGCTGGCTGTTTGCAAGTCCCCAAGCAAATTCAATAAGTTGATTAGGAGTCATAACAGTAATGCTTCCAAAGTTAACATAAACAACAGAGTTTGGTTCTTTGGTATCAAGCCATTGTATACACTCAGGTTCCTCTTTCCAAAGACTGGATCTAAGTCCCTTCAAATTTTCATCATCAACATGTTTCACTAGAAAATGCAAGGGCCCTATGGGGTACACTGGAGGAAGAAGATTTCGGAGCGATTCAAGAACTTCAGCCTCTAGAGATTCAAATGTGTTGAGGATAATTGCAGAAGCCTTTCTTGCTCTCTCTGTTTCTTGGAGTATAAATTTGATCATGAAATCATCTGGATTTGTCGTTCTCAAGAAACTTGGAAGATCCCTTAAACGTACGTCTTTCATGCCTGGTATAAAATCCAATGTTGTCTCTAGGTATCCATTTGTCAAGTCAGTCGCATCTATAATTTCCCAAAAAGAGAAAAAGTTAAAACACGTGCACATCCAATAATGGGAATTAGCTATATACATCAAGAATAAAAAATAAAAGAAAGTCTCAAAATTAATATCTTTCCATCTGCCTAAATTATTACAGACAGAGTTATTTGGTATCGGCAGTAGATGAAAGTAGCACATACACGATGTAATAACTAAATATATCAAGATCCGATAAATCATTAAAGCATAACAACAGCGAGTTCAAGATCTAAGAGTTAATGACTCAAAAGTAATACATTGTAATCTTGTACACATAGTTCAAGCAAAAAGGGAGCCGCCTATATATGACGGAGAATGTATTTGTACCTTTAAGTGGAGCGTAGCCTTTTTCAATAACCTTGTCGTAATGCATGTAACCTAAGAAACCACAAGCACTAGTGGTCCAAAACAGAACTTCAGGGACTCCCAATTCTTGTGCAGCAGCTAGGGTGAAGCTCATGACACCATCCGAGACGATGCACGAGACGGGTGGCACGTTAGATGTGTTAGTATCATTGAGCTTGGCAAGAAGATCCCTAAAGGGACCCAAGCAAGTATTGGCTGTAGATTCACACAAAGAAGGTATATCTTGTGTGGCATCTGCATCACATGGCGGAAGTCCATCAGGAATGGTCTCAAAACGGAAAGAAGAAAGACCCTTGAGAGAATCAGGGCCGCGAGATTTAAGGAGACGTTTATGGTTAAATTCAGTGTTGACAAAAGTTATGTGAAAGCCTTTGTGATGAAGGATTTTGGCTAGCTTTAACATAGGGTTGATATGGCCTTGGGCAGGATATGGTATGCAAACTGCATGTGGCTTTGTTAATTCAGCACCAATGGAACCCATTCTGAATTTCTTTCTCTCTCTCTAAATGTCTCGAAAGGGAAAGGAAAGATCTGGATGATTTTGGCAAGAAGGATTGAAGAAATGCAGATATTTATAGATGGAAAAAAGAAGTCAAAACCGTCAAAGAAAGTGCCAAAAAGAGATCACGCCAGACTGCTACAAAATGGGAAAATTCAAAGTTAGATTTGGGTTGGCTGGAACGCCGGTTTCGAGGTCAAAAATGACTTACTGCGGTATATTATACTAGTATTCATTATTACTCCAATTTCTCCACGAAATCTGTCATGCAATGCATCATTGGTTCGAGTTGAAATCCTGTAGAAGTGGTGATGATGATGGTAATGATAATAATGATAATATTGTTCTTTGTGTGACGTAATTTGACTTTATAGAATTTGACAAAAAAAATATTTGAACTTAATATATCATAATGTTTTTGTGGCTATAAAATATTATAAAATTTACTGTTTTAATATGTTTCATAATATTTGTATTATTATAAAAGCTTTTTAATTAAGAATAAAATTGAAACATCCTTCGTATTAATTTATATGATGTACTTTTCTTATTAATCTGGTAAAAAAAGACTGATATATTTTGTATTTTAGTAATAATTTAACTTTAAACTTTCTATTTTGCATGTTTTACCATTAATGAGAAGCTTTTATAACCATACAAACGTCATGACATCACAAAGCTTTTACCTTTCTAGCTTTTAAGACCACACAAGTTTCAAAAGTCTTATTTTCTTTAACTCTGTACCGAGTCAAACTACCTCACATAAATTGAAATAGATGGAGTATAAATCGCTACATAAAAATGTATCATTCTTCTTGGAATAATCGAATTGAGAAAAGTATATATAATAACTTTAACTTTTATACACTTACAAAATAAAATATTTTTATACTATCAGGTCACTCGAAAAATAATTATATATTACTACCCATAATTAGAGAGATGTGTGGCCTTAAAAAACAAGTTATATGATATGTAAATTAAATACGCGTGTAAAAAATCTTTACACGTCCATATTAAGTTTATAAATTCATATATAATATGTATATCCTGATCTCAAGGTAATATGGTCGATCGATCGATTTACAGTACGATTGTATAGTTGTTAATTGCATAAATGAATATATCGATGCCCACTAAATCTATTAAAAAAGCCTTGAAGATAAGCTGGTGATGTGCACAGATTATCTGTATCATTATACATAATAATATAGCCATAACCGTTCAATCTATTAAAATGATAGTTTATATGACTCCACTAAACTATATAGAGACCAGGTTCTCTATGAGTTTCCACTGAGAAGCTAATAAAACAGTAAGTAAATAAGACAGGGGTTTTTACGTGGAAAAATCCCTGCTCAAGGGGACAAAAAACCACGACCTACACTGGTAGGATTTCAACTTCACTATGAACAACTTTTAGATTACAACCTATGCAATCTAGGAATTAAACTCTTAATCTCTCACTAACTTGTAATACACCTATTACAAAGACTTCAACTCATGACTAACTCTAGTCACGGCACAAACACTAAGGGTTAATGGTTTTACAAGGGGGTTCCTAAGCAAAGCTTCTAGAAAATCAAATTAGGAATTACAATGAAGAACAATTATAAAGTTACAACTCAACTAAGGACAACAACATACTAGATTTAGTAACTGGTCCGTAGTAGTGTTAAACTTTGTTCTTGATGCACTTGAGAATTGAATGCTTGATCTGTGAACGGTTGGAGTGCTCGAATGCTCAAGTTGATTCTCAAGTGTTCAAGTAATGTTTTGTTGTAATACTCTAGTTAATATAACTTGGATGACATCACTTGAATGATGTAATCACTTGGTAGGTCAAATGAGAAGTGACTGCAGAACCTGCAATGCACTGTTTCTGTGTACAGTGCAGGCAGTCACTTTCTAGCTGTAGTCAGTTGACTTCATACTGCTGTCAGGGAAACACAAGGGTATCAGGTCCCTGCGTTGATTCTCTATCTTCTGAAGTCTTAGCAGTTCTCATTAGCTGGAATACGTTGATTTGAGTTGTGTACCAAATGAGTCAGGTTCCTTATCTGGTTCTTTGACAATAAGTTTGTTAGATTATCAAAACACAAAGCTAAGACATTGTAAACCCATCAATTTCCCCCTTTTTGATGATGACAAACTTAGAAATTGAAAACGCATGTTTAGAGCAAAATTAACCAGATGAAGTGACATGAACTTCACAAGTTCCCCCTGACTTTATACTTCCCCCTTAAACGGATCCCTGTTTTCCAAATTATACACATGAAGCAACAGGAACTAGAACTAGTCCCCCCTGACGTTATACTTCCCCATTTTGGCATCATTAAAAATACACAAACGGGCAATCAGCATAAAGAAGTCTAGCCTAGCTAACTCATGCCACATATGTGCACACAACATGATTGAAAAGAGAAGCAGAGACACAGAAGCATTAAACAGCAAAAAGAGGATAGTTTTTATAAAACGTATGCCTTTGCTATATAGCAAAGGAATAAATTGGATTGATTTCAGCGGGAGCAGTACAAGAACTTCCCATCCATACCAAAAAAGAAACAAAAAACAAACAATAACTACCAATGTCAACAACACAAAATTAATCCAGAAACTGGTCACTGAAGGGGCTGCCTAAGGGACACTAGGAGGAGAGGGCTCGAATGCTGCAGCAAGGGTGTTGAGAACTAGATCTACTCGAGCATTTGCCGACGTTTTCTCGGTGAGGAGAGGGCTCGAACCTGCAATGCACTGTTTTGAGCATTGATGAGCTGAGAGATTGTCGAAGTGCTGCCAATTCCTCCATTATTTTCCACACACTCACATTCCTCCAAAGTTGTTTGAGAGAAGGTCTGCTTCTTGGTCCCTACTTTGAACTGTCCCAATGGCACGTTGAAGAACTTAAAGACGGGCGTAAGAAGAAACCCATATGGAAGACCATGGTTGCCATCTTTGAAAGTCGCCACCTTCTGCATATGCTTAATCATGATGGCAGGCAAGTTTACAGCTTTAAATCCATCCAATGCTTCCATCAGATATAGTTCAGATTTAGAAGTAATGGACCTTCTCTTAGTATAGGGTAGAAGAACCTTGTTCACCAGCTCGAACAATAACTGATAAACGGGAAGCAAGGCTTTCTTGTGAACCCGTTCCCCCTGCTGGGCGGCACCTTCCTTCACAATAGCATTCCGGAAATTTGACCCGCAGACATTCTTCACAAAAGATTTACCAGAAGTAGGGACCTTAAGAATGTCCCCAAGCAGAGCAACATCAAACACAATATCCACCCCATTAACTAAAGCACAAATATGGTCAGTGTCAACAGGAAAGAGGTCGGCATAGAAGCTTTGGACCTCATCCTCATAGACCTTGGGCGCATCCATTGTGAACAGATGTCCCCAGTTCTGAAACTCGACCATCTCAATTACTTGTCTCATGCCGGCCATGTCAAAAATTGCTGGGTCAAAAGTGCGACCTTACAAGACCTTTTGGTGCCTCAATCGTTCTGTAGCAGACATACTCTCACCTTTCACTCTCTTTGAAGAACCAGGTTCCGTCACAGTTTCCAACATTCTCTTTCCAGACCTCACACTCGATTTTCCTTGTCCACTGGACTTGTCCAACACATCCTCATCAGAAAATAATTGTTCACTCACATCTTTTAGCTTTCTACCACCTTTTGCTGATCTTGAACTAGGGTGGTGACGCCTTCCACTGAAGCAGATTGCTTCTTCTTCTGGGACTTTTTAACCAAGGAACTGGGTTCCTCTATTGCTTCCTCATCAACTTCTATCACAGGAATATCCTTGTCACATACTACTTCTCCATTTTTCACCAACCTCTTCTTTTTCTTCTTATTGTTCCTTTTGCTATTTTGTAGTGCAGACTCATAAGCCTCTTTTGCTTGCGACCTAGTAGTAGGTCGCTTAGCAGAGGACTCAGGGATGGCTACTGCCCTTCTTCTGACAATAAAGGCATCCAGAGGAACATTGTCTTCATCTTCTTCATCACTTGACCTCATCTCAGGAACCAATATTTCCAAGGGCTCAACAACAAAGTGTGGAGAGGGAGCAGGGGCGAAACTGAACTGGGAAGAGGATCCTTGATATTTTTCCTCTGGAGAGGGATCAGGTCCTTCACACAATCCCAGTAGTTCCTGCCGGTGCTGAGTTTTAAAAAAGCACTAGAGCTCCTTCTTCCATTGACCCCTGTGTCTCATTCCTTTGAGACTCAGGCATACCAGAGACCACCTCATACACTATTCCATCAGCAGATAACCAGTACATTTTTGACAGCCTCTTTCTCTAGAGACTCCATGGTTACCACAAACTTAGAAGTAGGAACAACTATAGACAGATCAATACTCACCTCTGAGACCTCAACTGACTGCGGAATCTTACGCTGTTCTCCACCCTTACTTTGGTCAGTGAGAATCTCAGACGATAGGAATGAAGGATTATCGAAGGTTGGAGTTTCTGAGTTCCCAACCTTTTGAAACGGAGAGAGGTCTGAAAGAGTCGAACTAGAAGGATTCTGAGAATCGGGGTTGGAAGTGTCTTCACCAATGGTGGTTGAGACATGGATGATGAGAGACGGCTTTTCAGAGACAGATGAATCAAGGGTTTCCTCTGGTGTTTTCTCAGCTAAGGAGGGAATCATTGATTGATTTTCAGCCATGGCAAGGATGAAGTAGGAATTTTGGAGAAGGACTGAAAAGGGACATGTGGTCGTTCAAAAAGAAGAGAGGGTTTTAATGGGAGAAGAGATAGTTATGAGGGAGAGAGAAAGTAACCGGTTCAGAAACGTTGGTAGATATGTGGGGAGTTGCAACGTTTCAGAGGGAGATGAAAGGATTTCAAATGAAAAGACGTGACATACAGGGTCTCAAAAGGTAGGTGACATGGAAATCATTTTTTTTTTGCATCTTTTTAAGATATGTATGAGAATGCACAAGACTACTAACCTATGGTACAAGAACTAGGTTCTTGACCAGTCTTTGAAAATTTTCAATCCTCTTTTACCATCCATGCAGTGCATCTACAGCTTCTATAATCATCATGCGTG